TATTTGGTGCCCAAATATACTATTCCAGTCTAGACTCTGCTGAGCTTTAGACAACCCCTATATTCAACATTTTACCTGCTGTCCTTCTTCAAACTCAGTATGTCTATAATCACACTAACCATTTTGCCCCTCCTAACCCTTCTTTCAAACACCTGAAGACTAGGAGACATCCTTGATACTTTCTTTCTCTGTATCTGTACTTATCTCTCCACTTCCATAAATGTCCCATAAAATCTTCCAAGTGGAGCTCTCCAGGCTCACAACTCAACCACCAGAACAGTGAAATATAGGCAAGGTAAATGCTGAAAACTCTGAGCTCCTGTAAGAGGGAGGACTACAGAATAGAAGAAGCTGGGTCTCTGAATTGCTCTGTGCAGTGCTGCCTATCAGAAAGGCCTGGTTCTGAATTTTATGTAAGAAACAATCCCCTCATAAATTGTGCCACCAGGATTTTTTAAACTATCTTTCACAGTAACTAGAAGCACTTTAACTAATATAGTGTCCAAACTACCTGAAGGACCCATCAACAACTCCAATTCCTCTATTAAACCTTAATAATATAATTTTTCCAGTAGTAGAGATTGAACCTAGGGGTGCTCTACCATTGAGCTTCATTCCCAGCCCTTATTATTTTTGAGAAACCTTTCTTGAATGACTCAACCTCAGTCCCTTCCGGGGAAGTTAAAGGAACAGAAACTGTGGCTGTGAGGGGGGAAGCACCTGCACCAGCACACAGGGAATGCCATGAACACAGAGCCCAGTGGCCCAGTATCCAGAGATGACAATGACAGTTCTGCTCCTCTTGTATAGCTCATCAGGCCTCATGTGCCTTCATGACCCAGTCAGAGAGAAAGATGGGCAGATCTGCATCCAGGGGGCAACAGGGCCATGCCAGAGAAGGAAAAGGAGTATTTCTTTCCACTGATAATCCCAGGGCCTGCCATGGTCTCTGGTACCCAAGCAGACTTTAGTCAATGTGACACTAAAAGAAATGAACCCACAGTAGGCTCGAGTCTCCTGCTGGGGCCCTATGTACTCTGAGACATCTCACTTCACCACTCTGAACCTCATTGCTCCCTCAGTAAAGATAACAACTTCTAACTCCATGTAATTCTTTCAAATAACAAAATGAGATAATGGATATGAACCCACTGAGTGTCAAAGAACTTTGAAAATGTTGGGAATAGCAGATCAGAAGACTGCTGGTGTGTTTCTTTTTAAATATACCAGTAAAACCAACTTTTTCATTGACATGTCTGTGTTCTGTAAAGTCAGTAGTCTAAGTTGAAAGATTATGCATGTCTTTTTGAAATTCAGTAGAGTTATTTTCACTCTTTATGAAAAATATGTGCTCCTAAATACTGTTATTTTTCCTGATTCACTTCTCATGCAAAGACATATTCACCATTTAAACAAAAAGTTGGGTGCCTTGCACAGTGTTCTGCATGCTGTGACCATGCAGTGACAATACTGGTCCTCTGGTCCTCGTGTAAATTTAATGGGAACATTAGGTGGTATTGACCTCCCAGGATAAAAGCCCTCTGGAGTGCAGACTGCTAGCTGGCATAAGGAAGAAACTCACTTGATGTGTTCAGGCAGCTTGAGGATGGTGGCATTACGATGACATTGTGGCATATCACTAATGCCTGAGAATGAGAGGAAACACTGGGGACAAGAGAAAAAGGGAAACTTTTTGAATAGACTCCATCTCTCTCAGCATGTGTCCCCAAAAGATTATACTCCATCCAAAGCCCTGGATCTGGACAAACAATGTAATGTACTTAGTGGCCCTGTGTGAACTCTGCCTCTCTCAGGAACAATCTTTCCCAAAGAACAGCCTCATACATCTCACTAAGCACTTGCTGGCTTTCTGATCTGTTAGCATGAGTACCTGTGTACCACCAGGCAGCCTGAGACTTCCCAGTAGAAAACTATACTGCTTTTCTCTAAGAACAAAGTAAAGGAAGTGTTTGTGTGTGTGTATGTGTGTGTGTGTCTGCAGATCCCCAAGACAGCAGCCACAGTTACTACTGTGTATCTTTGTGTGTCTTTCCAACTTAGTTTTTATAATGGTATAACAGATTTTCTGACTGCAGTTCTGATTTTATAAAAGAGGATTGATTTGCAAAAATCTGGACCTGGAGAGCCCATACCTGGGAAAGGGCTATGAGATCAGAACAGAGATGGGGGGAAGATGCTGAGGTAGCCTAAAATCTACAATGGAATAGAGGGGCCAGGGCAACCTGGATTAGGACCAGTGCTTAGCTCTCCCTAATGGAAACATAGAGTCTACCTGGGTCAAGAGAGAAACAAGTGTCAGCCTTCATCTTGGGACAGAAAGAGATTCTGTATAAGCACAGGAAATGAAAGATCTGCAGAGGAGGTATGCTTGGTGCACTAAAACTGAAATTATACTGAGTGACTTGAAGCTGGATTATTGCTAAAATTCCTTTATCACATTTATTCTAAACTGCAATCAGTATTTCATGGATTTCATTGTATACAAAACTGACAGGGGGATAATGTTTTATGGCTTAATTGAATATTCTCAAACCTGGCTTTAGGAGTTGAAACAGCAATGCCTGGGCATCACTCCAGATAAAATCAGAGTCTCTAGGTGAGGGATCCAGAGATGGGTAGTTGCAAAAAGCTTTCTAGGTAATTCTAGTGTGCAGCCAGGGTTGAGAATCACTGTCCTAGGCTGAAATGGGAATGTTGCCAAAGGGAGCCAGAGAAGTGTTGGGGCTAACAAGTTGTGATTCCTGGGCATAACCTCAGACAAGAAAAATTTCTTGTTTTCATGGTAATATAAAGAATCAAGGCACAAAAGGATATGATGGGCTTGCCACTGGGTTGGTGATAATGACTTTAACCTGTGACTACCAGTCAGAAACCAAATTTTGCAGACACTCAAAGCAGGGCCTAACCAGGACCAGATAGGATGATGATGTATAATACACTTAGTTGTTTACTCTAGTCAAGTAGCAAGGATTCAGAGAATAAAAGATTAAGAAGGTTTATGGTAGGGACATAAAGAGAAATTTCAAGGTATTGAGAGATCTAGACTTCTAGAACTAGGAACCAGTCCCTTGGTGACTAAAGTCACACTTTATATCTCTCAGTCATTTGATATACTTCATCTTTGTCCCTCTCTGCACATCTCATTCATTCTTCCATTTCATCTAGCTTCTTCTATGCATTTCATATAAGGTCCAATGTGAGTGCTCCAGTCTTAACTCAGCATTATCTACCAGATCCAAAACCTACACTGACTTGCCATTATTATGCTATCTCTTAGTTAAACTTTTCAAGAGAGATGTCCAGAATAGGATGGTTGTTCTTTCCTAGCTTAGATCAAATGCCACTCTCCTCCCTTAAGGTAGGCTGGGGGTGGGTACATAGAAAATAGTGTGGTTTACAGGCTGGACATTCTGGGAAACCACTGGAAAAGCTGACACTCATGTAGGAAGTATGGGAAAGGCTAGAAATGAAACACATCAAATATCCATTTATCACCAAAGAACCACATGCACTTTCTTCTCTTCCTTCTTGTACCTCCTATGAGAAGGGTAGACATAGGTGAGATATGAAGGAATTTGAAAGCATGTGCCCTGTCTGATCTCAGGACCTATTCTAACATCCAAGAGAGATAACCACAGACCAGCATGGCCCAAAGGCAGTTAATACACCCTCCACATGCATTTATGTGCCTGACTCTACATAAATTGTCTTCCTCTGGAAACCCAGGAAGACCCTTCTGGGCATTGGTGAAAGCTTTAGGGTGTCCAAAGATCCTGTGGTGGGTTCAGTTTTAACCCCTTGCTGTCTTTCAAATTGTGGGATGTAAAAATTGAACATATTTAGACACTAAGGAGGATTTCTCTTCTTGGGGTGGTATCTGATCATCTGGAAAATTTCTGGCTAAAATGATATTACAATGGTTTGACAGTTCACTTGACAATTCTGAAAAAAAAAGTAAAATTCCTCATTCTTTTTATTTTTATTTTTTTTAATTTTGGGGGGGTGGGTACCGGGGATCAAACTCAGGACCTTACACTTTCAAGGCAGGCGCCGGAACCACTGAGCTAAATCCCCAGCCCTAAATTCCTCATTCTTAGATGACAATACAAAATGACTCTTTTCAGAAACTGAGTGTCAGCCAAGTTTTGGATTCATAAAAGTGGTGGTGTGTTAATTTTTAAAACTCCAATGGAGTGTAAAGTCATTTTTATAGTCCAGCATCAGCTATTGTGGTGAAGAATGGAATGGTCTTACAGCTTTTTTCCATCTAGTTATGTCCAGCTGCTCTGAGGCATGGGGGTGGGAGTAGTTAAAGTGAATACCCCAGGACAATCCCATGCCTCCAAGCCTTGGACAATCTGTCCTTTCTTTTTCCTCTTTGGTCCCCAGGAGCTAGAGGCAAAGTAAAGCCAGGAAGGGAAAAGGTATGCAGGGAAGGCGAGTAACAAGTGTTGTCTATTTTCAGTTTACCCAGACCATGGAGTCCCTATAGACCATGGCTGAGGCCTCAGCACAATGCTACAATGCCAGTGTGCAATCATTTATTTCAGACCCTTAGGTGACATCAGCTATCTTAGCTTTTACCCCAGCATAGCTACCGGAGATTCTGGCTGATTAGAACAGAAGATGAAGAAGACTAGTACTTGTATTTCACTGATGTTATAAAACACCTTTAAACCAATAGAATGATTTATCTGGGCTGAAAATAAAAGTTCTGCCTACCAAAGTCTGGTGTAGCTGAGTTATCACTATTTTCATCCTGTAATTTGTTTTATAGGGTACTAATTACCAGGGCAAAGTCTGTTGCCAGGCAAGTAAGTCACATTTTGCTGTTTTCTTCTTTTCTAACAAGACACTGAGCTTGTCTTTAATTAAAGAGCAAGTTCCAAGGGCACCATCAGCTATTGAAATTGGGAAACAGTAGTCAGAGTAGATCAAGGTTAAATCTGTTGTATTTCAAGAAAGATAATGGGAGAGAGGGGCATTGCACAGGTGACCCGGGAAAGAAGAAACTGTATTCTTCAAATAGCCCAGCTGTCCTCTTTATATTCATCTTTCCTCTGGTCCCCAGACTTTTGCATTTCTCCCCGGCTCTGCTCAACTGACAAGAATACCATAAACATCCTTATAGAAAGAGAATTTCTTCCCCCGATTTATTCTTATTCCTCAAGAAGCACTATTATTTTTCCCTTGGGCAGTTACTCTCCCCTCCCAGCCCCTGTCCCAACTTCCCCTTCTTCAGGGTTTGTTTTTCCATCCAGCCCTTCAGTGGCCTTTGACCCTACGATTTGCTCTGTGGGGCCGGCGTTACTCTCCTGTCGCAGCTCACCCTCTTCGCCCTGCCTTGAGGTTTCTTCACTCCTCTCCCTCTCCCCCATCCCATTCCTGGAGGCTCTGGGTTGGAGGTGGTACCCTGGCTTCTCCTCCCTCCTTGAACCCCCGAGATATTTTTGCTAGGTTAAGAGGCCGCCAAGGCTGGGCTGGTGAGGCCAATAATCGCTCGCACCCGGAGCCCGAGCCTGACGTCACCGCGCCCGCCTGTCAATCTCTCGCGGGCGCGCAGCACGCAGCCGCCTCTCCTGCCCGCGTCTCTCACTCGCGGCGGCAGGCGCAGCGACAGACGACCGGCGTCCCGAGCTTGCCTCCCGGCCAGCAGCTGCTCGGTCCGCGCAGGGAGCTCAGCCGGGCTCGCCGCCTCGGCGCGCATGAACAGCGACCTCCTGACTTCCCAGGTGAGCTGCCGGTCCCTGGCGGAACTTTGAGGGTGTGGGGAAGGCTCCAAGGGGTAAGGACAGCCCGGGAATGGGTCTTTCCCGAAGCCGGGGAGATGGAGCGAAGCTTAACCACCCCGTTTCCCGCACAATTCCCGGCCCCAGACTTACTACTCCCCAAACCCCTTCCTGGAGTCTCTGGGCTCCAAGGCTCTCCGGACAGTGCTATCGCAAACTTCGCGTTCAGCACCGCGGACAGCGCCCGCCGCCCAGTTCCGAAAGGTGCCCCTACCGCACTGCCGCAATCCTGGCTGGACCGTCCCAGGTGCAGATTCCTAGCTCGTCGCAAGTATAGGCACACTTGGAGAACTGACCTCTGAGCACGAGTGTATGGTATCAGTGTATACATCTGTGCAAAAACTCAAAAGTGCATGCCGACACTCGGCGTTTTCCATTCACTCCTCTCTCAACAGGTGTTTCTTTCGGGTTCCTACTTAACCCCTGCTTCCCGCCCTGCCCCAGGGACGGGGTGGAATAGCCAATTCGGATGCGACTACTCGAGCGGGGCACCTGCGCGGGCCGGGGGAGGGTCCCCTGGGAGCCTGGGCTGCACACCTGACTCCCGCCCTTCCTCTGCAGGGTGCAGCATCTGGAAGCGATGAACACGAGCGCTGCCTCGCTCAACGAGTCCCAGGTGGTGGGAGTGGCTGCCGAGAGAGCGGCGGCGGCGGCCACAGCAGCAGGGGCGCCGGACACCGGCGAGTGGGGCCCCCCGGCAGCAGCGGCAGCGCTGGGAGGCGGCGGCGGAGCTAATGGGTCGCTGGAGCTGTCGTCGCAGCTACCTGCAGGGCCGCCCGGATTGCTGCTGTCGGCGGTGAATCCCTGGGACGTGCTGCTATGTGTGTCCGGGACGGTGATTGCGGGCGAAAACGCACTGGTGGTGGCGCTCATAGCGTCCACGCCGGCGCTGCGCACGCCCATGTTCGTGCTCGTGGGAAGTCTGGCCACCGCTGACCTGCTGGCGGGCTGCGGCCTCATCCTGCACTTCGTGTTCCAGTACGTGGTGCCCTCGGAGACTGTGAGCCTGCTCACGGTGGGCTTCCTAGTGGCCTCCTTCGCCGCCTCGGTCAGCAGCCTGCTAGCCATCACGGTGGACCGTTACCTGTCCCTCTACAACGCGCTCACCTATTACTCGCGCCGGACCCTGTTGGGCGTGCACCTCCTGCTCGCTGCCACCTGGACGGTGTCCCTGGGCCTCGGGCTGCTGCCGGTGCTTGGCTGGAACTGCTTGGCCGAGCGCGCCTCCTGCAGCGTGGTGCGCCCGCTGACTCGCAGCCACGTGGCGCTGCTCTCCGCTGCCTTCTTTGTGGTTTTCGGGATCATGCTGCACCTGTACGTGCGCATCTGCCAGGTGGTCTGGCGCCACGCTCACCAGATCGCGCTGCAGCAGCACTGCCTGGCGCCGCCCCACCTCGCCGCCACCAGAAAGGGTGTGGGAACGCTGGCCGTGGTGCTGGGCACTTTCGCAGCCAGCTGGCTGCCCTTTGCCATCTATTGTGTGGTGGGCAGCCACAAGGACCCGGCCATCTACACCTACGTCACCCTGCTGCCTGCCACCTACAACTCCATGATCAATCCAATCATCTACGCCTTCCGCAACCAGGAGATCCAGCGCGCCCTGTGGCTCCTGTTCTGTGGCTGTTTCCAGTCCAAAGTGCCCTTCCGCTCCAGGTCCCCTAGTGAGGTCTGAAGGGCTTCCTCTTTCCTCTCACCAACACCACATACCCAACAAGCCAGCCTTCGGTGAGCTTCTTGGTGCCTGTCGATGAACTCTAAGATCCCTATGGTGTGAGTCTGACTTCGCTGGGGAAAAAGAGGGACTAAAGAAAAATGCAACAGACTCACAAGGACAAAGAGGCTTGTTGGCACTTTACATATACAGTGTATACATGTGTACATATATATACAAATATTTGTATCTTTTGGAGGCGTTCAGGATGTGGGGCTTCCTGTGCTGTGAAAAATTAACAAAAAGATGTGGTTGTAGACTCAAATCGTACATCACATTTGTCATGTGAAAGCATTCTAATATTGCTTAATATAATAGCACTTTATTTTTAGCTGCTGAACTGCCAAAACAGTGTTGTCATTTTCAAGGGCAGAGGGAAAGGAATAAAAAGTGTATTTTTGTTGTATGTGATAGAATATTTTGCTGCACATGCATCAACAAATTACAACATATTTTGTACACAAATAAACATTTAAAAAACGTGATTTTTGACATGTGATTAATGGGATTACTAGTTGAGAGCTGAATTATGAGTGCATTTACTTGAAAAGTTTATTATATATCATCTCCCTCCTGAGAAAATCTTAATGTAAGAAATTGTATGCATTTGCATTCTGCTCATAAATTCACCAAAACACCAACTCCAGATGGTGGGGGAGGGCCAGGAAGGGGTAATGCACTCATAGAGCAGTATTCACAGAACACTGGTTATGTGTCACTGGTGCAATTAATCCATTCCGTTGGTTACTGGGTTAGGAAGTCAAGTCTCAGAATAAAACTATTCCTTCATATTACCATGTGTGCATTTGTGAATGCTGAAACCACAGCTTTCACTTATAGTTTTTCAAGTATGGCAAGAATTTTACATGTTGAATATTCATATTGACTTCGGATAATCTTGCTGGGTCACTTCTTATAGCAAAATGAGCAGCCTTATAAAATAGGTTCTTCTCATAGGAGTCCAAGACATAAAAGGCATAATCAAAATACACAGTGAAGGCTGGGGATTTAGCTCAGTGGTTTCACTGCCTGCTGTGCAAGCACAAGGACCTGAGTTGGATCCCCGGTACCAAAAAATTGTACAGTGAAGGTTTAAATTTTTACAAAATCATTACAGTAGAAGACAGGTCTCATACTACTATTAACTCCCTTCAAAATACTCCCCCTTGCTTGAAATATACTTACCTTGTCACTCTTGTCAATTTCTGAAGCTGGTTTGGAAGTCCTCTTTTGTAAGTATCTTTACAAGATATGACCACAAATACAGTGAATACTGCTGCAAAGTGCCATCCAACAGAAAAGCATATTCATAAAAAAATCACTGGCTCCTCTCCAAAGTCAAAATGATGGTGAAAGATAAACTTTTTGATTCAGGACATCAAAGCAGCCATGACAGCACAACTAAAGACACTCATAAAAAACGCCTCCAGAACTGCTTCAGAAAGTGGTAAGAATGGTGGGATAATTGTGCTTGAAGCAAAGGGAAATATTTTGGGAAAAATTAATGACAATTTGTCTTTTACTATAATAATTTTTATTAAAATTTAAACATTAACCATATTTTTCTATCATACCTTGTATGTTTTTCACCTTCAGAAGGTAAATGAAAGCATATCACACATCCCCTCTGGAGCTACTCTCAACTTCTAAAGAAAACATTAAGATACGGAAGAACTAAACACTCCCATTCCATGCATGGGTGTGAGTCATGACCCCTCCCCTTATAGGCCAAAGTGAGGATAACTAAGAGAACATACGTGGGCCACGCTCAGCTCCTCTGAAGAAAGATACCCACAAGCACAAGTAGTTACTAGTCTCTGGCCTCAGGAAGATACACGCAAGCAAATCTGTTACTAGATTTTCCATGTATTGAGTGCCTACAATATGCTAGACACAATTGCAGCATTGTGGATATGGAAATGAAGTAAATAGGCAAACAAGTCTCTGTGCTGTTGGTGTTATGTTCCAGGGGAAGCTGGCCTGCAAGCAAATAAATATACAAAATGTCATATTGGGAGAAATGCTATAAAGGAAAATGAAGCAGGATAAGGAGTGGCCAGCAATGGATGGTGCTCCATTGGGTGGGGTGACTGGCAGAGTTGTTCTGAGGACACAACACTTAGGGGGAAGTCAGTGAAGTGAGGGTGTGGGGCAAAATAGAATATGAGGGAGAAGGTCTCCAGGTAGGGAGGGCAGTAAGTGCAAAGGCATCAGGAGGAACATATGTGGCAAGTTCAAGGTCAATACGGTGTGGACAGAGTGAGCACGGGAAAGGGAGGTGTCACCAGGGAGCTGGGGCTTATGCTGCAAGGAGCCAGCCTCTTCCCCCTTGGTCCTCAGTTCTTTGCACCCATGATGAAAGTCTTTTCAATTTTTACTGTTTATTAGTTCATGTTTGCAGTACAAAATGATAACATTCCTCATTTGCGTTGGGATCTATACATAACACGTCTTCACTCTTCTCCATCCCCTCTCTTCTTTCACTCACACCTCGCTTCATATCTTGGTCACCTTCCCATTTGCAAAAGATCTATCTTCCTATTTTCTATTATCTATCTTTTGCTATATTTTGCTCTTTATATTTTGGGTTTCTCAAACATCAGGCATGTGTGTTCTGATTTATTTTAGTCAGTATTATGGTTGCAGGTTGCACCCATTTTCCTACAAATGACTCAAGTTTATACTTCTTTATGGCACAGTAGTACTCCATTGCATATAAACACTGCATTTTCTTCGTCCATTCACCCGTTGATTACAAATTGTGCTGTAATATGATGTCTTTAACTCTTTGGGGAAGATACCTAGAAGAATAGCTGAGTCAAGTGGAATTTCTAGTCTTAGTTTGTTGAGAAATCTCCACACTGATTTCCATAGTGGTTGTACTAATTCACATTCCAACCAACAGTGTAGAACTGTTCCCTTTTCCCCCCTGCAACCTCATCAGCATTTGCTAATGCTTGATTTCTTGATGATAGCCATTCTTTCTTGGAGTAATATGGAATCTCAGTGTTGTTTTAATTTGCATTTCTTTTTTTTTATTACAAAAATTTTAATTTTTAGGTAAATTAATGTCTTATCAAATATTCTAAATTTTTTTGTATTAAATTCTTTTATTGGTACATTGTACGTATACAACACAATTACATTTCTCATTGGGAATTGTACCTTTACACGATGCATCTTGGTTCTTATT